ACCATTCATAATTCAAGGGCGACATTGATAATTGGTCAATTATAGAGGGACATTGTTTACAAATTTCCCAAAAAAAATCAGTGTTTCTGATCCGTTAGATTTGAACACGTGAACGACTGTAAGTGATTCTTAGTTCTTTCCTGGACAACTCGTTCTCACTTGAACATCCTCCTATATATATATTATTGTAAATTGTAAATTGTAAATGTGCTAGTTTGAAATAGAAATTTAAATTGATTGAATGATATATACATTTCTATTTATTATTGTAAAAGTAATCATTTGAAATATAGTTATAATTTATTTAACACTAATATAATTTATGACGTACCCGTCCTATAAATTACAGTGACATTTTGTTTTGTATTGGTGATATAACAAATGATACAATCGTGATACTGTGCACCAGGGCGCACATAGCACTGTGCACTCTGCGCCTCCCAAAACGACGTTGTTTTGTTAAGTTGTTAAAAAAAAATCATCTGTTTCGAATGCACATAAACTCATAACAGAATACACAAAATTCATAACAGAATACACATAATCTACATAATACATAATACACATAAACTTTTAACTGAATACACATAATAGGATTTGGTTAACATAATACACATAAACTCTTACTGAATACACATAAACTCATTACACAATACACATAAACTTTTGACTGAATACACATAATGGAGTTTGGTTAAAATAATACACATAAACTCTCAACTAAATGCACGTAAACTCATAACACAATACACATAAATTTTTAACTGAACACACATAATGGGGTTTGGTCTGTTCGGATGGACAAAGTGACGTTAGTAATGACATTAACATGAAACGCCCGCGTTTTGTGTCTGGACACACATTACTATGTGCGCTGTGGTGCACGATATAAATTGCCTAAATGATAATGGGAGCTTTCCTGAAGACTTTGAATAAAAATAAGACGAGTCAACTAAAATGCGTTGTGGGCCAAATAATCCAATTTTTTAAAAATTTTAATTTTTTGCTATCATTTTCGGTGATGCTTCAGGAAAATATTGCAACCTAATCGGTGTTGACGACTAATGTCATAGCATGTGTATATATATACAATTATCGTTCAAGCCTTCAAGATAAAACCAACTAAACATATATTTTCCCTTTTGAAACTGTTAAAAGTTTTCTCATCATGGGGACATCTTTATCTCAAATTGATCACTTCCTCGTCACCTTCCTCATCTTTCTAGTTACGGGGTTGTGCATTTGTAGCGGAAGCAACAATACTGGGATTTGCAAGGAAGAGGAGAAACAGGCGCTATTGTGCTTCAAGGAGGAGTCAAAAATTCTAAGGATAGAGCTGATTGTTGCACTAAATGGGAAGGAATGGGAAGGAATTGTGTGTGATAATGTAACCGGTCATGTCATTGAACTCCATCTATCAACTAATCTTGAGGATAATCTTCCAAGAGGTAAACTTAGTTCTTGTTTGCTTGAAGTGAAACAATTACGTTACCTCAATCTTAGAGGTATCAATTTCAGTGAGTCTCACATCCCCAATTTCATTGGATCTTTGGTAAATTTGCAATATATTGATCTATCTTTCACAAGCTTTGAAGGAATCATCCCCCATCAACTTGGAAACCTTTCACATTTGCATACTTTACGTTTGATAGACGAGGCTCTCAAAGCTGACAGCCTTGATTGGTTATCTAGTCTCTCAAATTTAAAAGTATTGGACTTGTCTTTTGCTAATCTTAGCATGGTACATAATTGGGCTGAGGTGATTAATATGTAAGATTTTCCCTAATAATATATATTATATATTAGGGCCTTAATTAAGTGGTGCAAGTTGACTAGGCTTATTAAGTGGTCTGGTTCGGACTTAATAACTAGTATTTGTTAGTCAACCAAACACTATGCCTAATATAAACCTGGATTGATGGGATACAGGTTTACGGATTAGACAGCACATTCAGTTACGGTACTCAGACTGCTCAGTAGACACCAATAGACCATCTAGGGTTCTGAGTCAGGTCTGAGGCAAAACATGGCTAACGGTCTACTGTTAAGAGGCAACACAACAGCATCAACTATGGCTGGAGATCCCTACATGGCTACGCTTCCGCTCTCATACGAGGTCAGATCACTCGTTTACTATTGTTCAATATTAGTTAGATTATTATGTATCTAACATTTGGTATCAGAGCCTTTATCAATCTCTACTTAGTTGGTTGTATTGCCTAAAATCAAAATTAATTAATATCATATACATTGATTTTAGTATATGTTGTTTTTTCGAAATATTGTCTTCTGGACTTGATTTATTGTTGTTGCTAAGTTGTTGCCGTTTCTTTTTGGGATACACCGCCATCGAATTTTGGCTGGAGGAATACGGTTCGAGGTAACAAATTACAGAGTCGTGGCAGTGTTCGTTGGAAATCAGTCATTAGATGCTGCACATTCAGGCGTCAATACTGTCTTGGTGTCAGCTCTCTCTCTTCTTCCTTCAGTGGCGTCGGATTCCGTTGGGTGTTTCATTTAATATAATACATATTTTATTTATGCAGTGTGCAGGTTCCTGGTATGCCACTTTCTAAATTTTTCCTTTATTTACCATATTTTATTTGCTTCATTTAATATAATACATATTAATTATGGTACATGGTAATTATTTAATTTAAATTGCCATATTTATAATACCATAATTAATATTGTATATTATTTTGACAAATGGTAAATATAAAGTAATTGCATAATTTTGAAATATTGATGCCCTTTAGTTTCCTTAATTTTGACATTAAATTCATAATTAAATTATTATTCAACTTTTGGCAAATATTAAGATTTAAATTTGCTATTTGAATTTTAATTTAATATTGAGGTTATATTTAATTGTCTGAAATATTGCAATTTATTTACGATATATGGGTTAATAATATATTAATATGCAAATCCAAGCATGCTATGTATATTCATAAATTAGTGTTATAGTTATACATTCATAAAGTATGCATTAAGGTTGGATTTAGCATATTATTAACTCATAAATTCACTATTAAACATCATTCAATTTTGGATCCTTAGGTCATTTTAGGTATTATGACCTACTAAAGTAGCTTGTTTGGTTTCCTCTTAATTTTGAGCACATTTTAATTTCATGTGTCTATGGACTTTAGAACCTACTTTGAACAAGCTATTTGGGACCTATATAGGGTCATTAAAGTATGGATCCCACCATTTTGTTTGATATTCTAATAATAATTATAAGTCCTTATAACATGTTTATTAAGTTTTAATTATTACTAACTACCATATTTTGGTATTCATCGTTGGTAATAATATTAAGTTTTGGGTCTATTTCAGTACTTAGACCATTTTTTATTCATGTTATAATTCACTTGGGTCATTGAGGTTTATGTGCCTAATTTGAGTGATTAAGTGCTATAATTATTGTTTTGGCCTGTTTAGAGACATTAAGGATTTAATTGTTATTTTGGCCATTAAGAACTATAACTATTTTTTAAGTTCGATTAAATTTTTAATCTATCAATAGTTTTTCAGGGCCTTAATAATAATATTAAGTCTTTAATTTTATGGCAAAAGCAATATAGTTGGTATATTGTCTATATAATGGTAATTTGGTTATTACCTTAACTTTAGTCTCCCTAAGTATCATAATAGTCATGGTTAATTATTATGTGGTAAAATTGAGATTAGTATTTGGCATCCCTTAATTACAGTTTTGCCTTTATTGTAATTATTATTAATTAGCATTATTAATTACTATTATTAAGTTTAGGGCTAATCTCATTTTATTACTTTTCATAATAATTATAATCTAATGGTAATCTGCTATATTTGGTACATTGGCATGATTACCACTTCATTTTACATGACTATTAATGTTGGTAATTAAGTCCTACCAATAAATTTTTTAACATACCATTGGACGCTGCATCGAGTTTATTGACACCGATAGTGAAGATTGGGAGAATTCTGGAGTCTTTTCTTCTCTTGTGGATCGTCATCGTTGTTAGCGCAATGGGCAGATGCGGTTTGCATCATTAATGTTAGCCATTAATTATCTTCTATGGTTATTATTGATAATTAGTACTACAGTTACAGTTAACCGCTAATTTGGACTAGCTGCATATTTTATCTTTAGGGGGCGTTTGGTCCAGGTCATCTTAGATTACCTAGGTAATCTGAGTCTGGTAATGTTATATTACCTTGTTTGGTTCAAGTTATAAGATTACCTGGTAATGTTATATTACCTGAAAGCTGATGTGGCGGTAATGTTTCAAGGTAATGTGATTACCTCCAATTTTTTAGGTAATCTTAGATTACCTTGCATTATTCCAACTTTGCCCTTGTTAACTAATCCTTATATAATAATAATAATAATAATAATAATAATAATAATAATAATAATAATTAGGGATAAGGGTCAAATAGACCCTCCAACTATATACTAAAGTGTAATTACACCCTTGTACTAAAAAATCCTCCAATTAGACTCTTAAACATGTTAAAATTGTACAATTCACATATTTAATAGGTTACCAAAAGGTAACCAACCGTTGGTTACCTTTCTTCCACGCTTCAAGGAATATAGTAGACTCTTCAGATCAAGAGTTGCAGCAGCTATGATAGAGATCTTGATCCACAATTTTTGGTTCCTAACATACCAAATCTTCCAACAAGTTAACAGCAGGAGACAGAAGGTAGATTAGTCCAGTGCCCTCATGTTAGTAGTAATCCAACCATCAAAAGAAAGTTGATCATCATTGCAGATTCCATTGAAGGCTGCCCAACAAGGCTTAGCATAGTCACAATAAATAAATAGATGAGCAATTGTTTCACAAGCTTTGCCACACATGGTATTTCATCTCATTCAAAAAAGAAAAAGAAAAAAAACTAAAATTAAAAAAAAAAATCCGGACGTAAAAACAAGATTTGAATGGAGCCGTGGCTTCTTCTCCGTCTAAATCTGGACAGAGAATCCTTGGCAGTTGGCTACCATGGACAAAGAAACCATGGCAGCCAACCTCCCATGGAAGAATGTTGGTGTTTTCTGCCATGGCAGGTTGGCTGCCATGGCTTCTTTGTTCATGGCTGCCAACTGCAAAGGCTTCTCCGTCCAGATTTGGACGGAGAAGAAGCCACGACTGGATTCAAATCCGGTTTCTCCGTAGCCGGAATTTTTCCTTGTGTGTTTTTTTTTTAATTTTAGTATTTTTTTAATAAGATGTCATTGACCTGTTGGTTACCTTTTGATAACCTATAAAATATGTGAATTGCACAATTTTAACATGTTTAAGGGTCTAATTGGAGGGTTTTTTAGTTCAAGGGTGTAATTGTATTTTAGTATATAGTTGGAGGGTCTATTTGACCCTTATCCCTAATAATTAATATATGTTTATATAATCAAATATATATGTGTATATTTATATATTTAATTTTTTTAATATTTAAGCATCGATTACATTCATACATATAAATAAATAACACACATTATATATATATATATATATATATATATATATATATATATATATATATATATATATATATATTATTGAGGACATTATTGTAAATTGATCCATATAACCTAAAATATAACCTTGAACCAAACAAGGTAATATTATATTACACTATCCAAACCAAACACACAAGGTAATCTTACATTCCCAACATCTCACATTATCTTCCTGGAGGTAATCCTATTACCTGGGTAATCTAAGATTCCGTGAACCAAACGCCCCCTTAGGAAAATGGAAACATTAAAAGGTGCATTACCATACTTTGATTTGTCATTATTATTAATGTTAATAGTGATTATAATGTTACTTATTACTATTAATAATTAATTAATGATGACATTAATATTGTTATGGTATTCAGATATGTATCTTGAATTGTTTTCAAATAAATTTATGTGACAATATTCCAGTTAAGAAAATAGTTTTCTTGAATTAATGTTTTTCGGACTTCAAATTTTATTAAATTTTTTAAAATTTTATTAAATTTTTTAAAATTTTATCCGAAAACATTTATAAGTGTTAGAGGTTTTAACCATTGTTTTTCCATATTTAGTCTCCTACTTAATGTGATAATATTATTATGGCTATTTATTGCTATTTTGATTATTTGCAATTTTGCCATTAATAATAATAATATTATCAACTGGATTATGGAGAGTGATTTTGAATCAATTTAGTAATTTTGGAAAAAAAACATATTTTCTAGGCAAATGACTTTTGCCATTAATTCCATAATTCATTTAGTTCTTTGAATTATGATTGCCCATATTTGGTTAAGTATATGAATAAATGAATATTTAGTTTAAATTCATATTCTTTAGTTGGTTCATACTCTTTAGATTGTTTTATGCATTCGATCACATTAAGTGCATAATATTAAGTTTAATTATGCAATTAGGGTTTATGAGATTTTCATTTACAAATGATAGCATATCCTTTTGGTTTGATATTGTTTGAATTTGTAAATTCAGTTATTTCTCATGAATTTGATCTTCATGGATTAAAACATTTTACCATGTGCTTATAGTTTAAAAATTTTAAACTATATATTCAGTACATTATTATTCAAAATGTTGGGTCTCTTTTGGTTTGGACTCATCGGTGTTTGAATATTAAGTTTATACTTTAAAATCTCATATTGTAAATTTGCTTTAAGTTATGCATTTTATTTAGAATATATGAGTTTAATGTTTAATTTTATGCATATTCGTCCTAAGCATAATATTATGTTTTAAATTATGCAATTTTATTATGCCTTTAGCAATGCATACTTTGAGATGGAATTATATTAGTTCCTATTTAAGTTGGACTTATGCATAAACTTTAGTTGCGGTAGTGCCTGAATTTAAGCACGTTTAGTCCGCTACTTTTAGTTCACCATTTAAGCTTTAATCATAGGTGAACCCCACAGTTTTCTGGTGTATACCATACAGTTTACTGGTTTATACCCCAAACAGTTATACATTAAGTATATATGAATCGGTGAGGCATACTAGTTTTAATGGCCATGAATTAAGAACATCTTGTGCCATTAGTCTCCTTAAATTGATACTCTATTTAAGGAATTGGTTTTCAGTGAGACTTAGTCTCTAACCGCCTTTCCTTGGAGTATATTTAGATTTTCCCATCACAATCTGGTATAATCTGTTTGTCAAAATTTTAAGTATTTCTTGCCAATGTGATTTTATTTCGGTTTATTAAAGAATAGCCAAAGCATCTTTAATTTACTGAAATATCTTGAGTTTTCAATCTTGGTTAATTAAGGAAATGCTACAGCATGTTCAGCTACCTAAGATTATTAAGTTTTAATCACATAAAGTTTATGCAAGGATTTGATAATTGTCTAGTGATCTTATAATTTTAATTTGGTTTGGGAGTAGCCACAACATCCTTAATCTGTTAAAATTATATATTAAGTGGTTTATTTTGATCACATAAAGTTTTGGACATATCATTTGTGATTAATTGTATGTAATATGATGAAATTTAGCCCACAGGCAATTTCGTTATATTTGTATAATTAATCAGGATGAAATACTGGACTACGGTCATAATTTAGCCCACAGGCAATTATGTATCGGAATGTAGTTTAGTAGTTTTATCAGTGACGATAGAAATAAATCAATTTATTTACTTTATGGTTATTTATAAATAATTTCCAATTCTATCATGAAGTTTAATTTTATGATGTAAATTTAGGTCATATTTCTTAATTTGCCCACAGGGATTAAGAAATGGAACATGATCTCTTAAGTTTTTTATCATAATGATACCAATGAATCTTATTGACTAAAACTTTAGCCTACAGGCAGGTTTTATGTCATTTGATTCTTCAACTCATTTGATAATGGTTTCATCATAAATAACGTTTTTCAGTTGGATCTAATTGAGTAAAACTTTAGCCCACAGGCAAGTTTTATGTCACTAGATTCTTCTGGCTCTTTAGTAATTGAGATAGAATATTATCATAAGGGTTTAATTGGATTTAATAGAATTAAAACTTTAGCCCACAGGCAAGTTTTATGTCAATAAATCCCTTAACCCATTAGATAATAATTTTATCACAATTCTTAGAATTTATAAATTTAGTTCAATTATAATTCTAAGTTTCATGATTTGCATTGGCAAAACATGTTTTTCAGTCACTTCCCAAAATTTAGTCACTTCTATTAATTGATCCACGAATCTTGCTCGGTTCTTCGGACTAACTGTAGTAAGTTACGTGATTTGACATACATCTTTTGGATTCCAATAATACTAAAATGTATCTTTTGAGCCAAATTCTAACTTGGTTTTGGAAGATGTATTTTGTTTTTTTTAGTATGTCCAACTATGGTGGGGAATTATATCTTCATTATTTAGTTGGACTTTAATTGGAACCAAAAATTGATTATTTAGTATGTCCAACTAATGATGGGGAATTATGTCTTCATTTGTTAGTTGGTCAATAAATCAATTATGAGTATGTATATTATTAAGTTCATTTTATTAATTTCGCTGAAGATTGTTTTAATCAGTGGGAGTGATCATTTAAAAAAAAAAAAAAGATCATTAAGATACTCCACTAAAGATTATGGATTTAATTATTGTATTCATACATTCCAAATTGGGTTGTATGTTAAACAATAAGTCCAAAATATTCCACAAGTATTAATCTTGTATTTGTTCATATAAATTCATAAGTTCAAATTATTGAACATTTTGTAGTGCAACATATTTATGAAAATGTTGTAACAATATTAAGGAATTTATTCGAACAAAAGTATTTAACTTGTGGTACACTATTTAATAAATTCTTCAGTTTCTTCAAAATTGATCCTGGGTCATTTTGGTTTGTAAGGCTCAAAACAATTTTGTGGGGCATATAATTAAGTAAGACTCATTATGTTCCGTTCATTTAAAATGGACATTGAAGTTATTTGGGAAGTTATGGTGTATGATTAAGATTCCAAATTCATGGACTTAGACCTTTGGTTTATTGTCTAAGTTATTGGAATGTTTCTATGACTTGACTATCTTTTGGCTATTTTTGATGAGTGGGAGTGACAGACGTGTCAACTCCAAGCTCTTAGCTGTTAGAGATAGTACTTAAAGTTAACTTATAAAGAAGTCATAGAATACGATTAGCATTATGTTAACATTAAGAGATCTCTACTTAAGGCATGCTTATAAAGTTTTAGAGATCATACCGTGTACTATTTTGTACAATTTGGATGTGCAGTGTTTTCTCCTTCAGTTGTGCACATTTTTTTGAGAAACATCCCTTAAGGTACCGAGAATAAACATAGAGTTTGTTCATAAAGGACCTAAGTTGGAGAATTAAAATGCATGTGACCATAATGGATACTACTATGATTAAATAGAGGACGTATCAATATGATTCGTGTGTTTTGTTCTTTGATGATGGTTGTGCTAAGTACTTGCACCAAGTGGGAGAATGTAAGATTTTCCCTAATAATATATATTATATATTAGGGCCTTAATTAAGTCGTGCAAGTTGACTAGGCTTATTAAGTGGTCTGGTTGGACTTAATAACTAGTAGTTGTTAGTCAACCAAACTCTGTGCCTAATATAAACCTGGATTGATGGGATACAGGTTTACGGATTAGACAGCACATTCAGTTACGGTACTCAGACTGCTCAGTAGACACCAATAGACCATCTAGGGTTCTGAGTCAGGTCTGAGGCAAAACATGGCTAACGGTCTATCGTTAAGAGGCAACACAACAGGAACATCAACTATGGCTGGAGATCTACATGGCTACGCTTCCGCTCTCATACGAGGTCAGATCACTAGTATACTATTGTTCAATATTAGTTAGATTATTATGTATCTAATATAATATGCTTCCTTCCTTGCGTGAGCTTTATTTAACTGATTGTGATATTTCAAAATTATCACTGCCATAACAAATCTTCACTTCAAGTTCTTGATCTTGCAATTAATAAATTCAGCACTGTCATTTTTAGATGGATATTCAACCTTGATACCCTTATTTCACTTCAACTATATGATTGTGGTTTTCTAAGTCCGTTTCCTGATGATCCTTGGAATTTGACATCCCTTAGAACTCTTGGCATCTCTGCAAATCAATTCCATGGCCATCTTCCCAATAGTCTTTGGAACTTGACTTCTTTGTCAGACCTTGATCTCTCTGAAAATATGTTCACAGGGGAGATACCAAAGCCAATTGGAAAACTCAACAAGTTGCAAAGAGTTAATCTTTATAACAACAAGTTAGATGGACCACTTCCAGAGAATTTAGGATATTCATTTCCAATGTTAGAAACTCTTCACATTACGGATAACATGTTAGAAGGCATAGTGACGGAAAATCACTTTGTTAATCTCACCATGTTGGGGTATTTACAATCATCTGAAAATAGATTAACGTTGAATGTTAGTCTAAATTGGATACCTCCGTTCCAACTTTTTGAGCTTTATCTAAGTGGTTAGAAGTTGGGTCCACAATTTCCTATTTGGTTACAATATCAATATACTATTGTCGAGTTGGACATATCTAACGCTGGAATGCAGAGTGAGGTTCCAAGTTGGTTTTGGAGATCTTTTGAATTTTGTTTCCTTAATCTTTCACACAACCATTTGCGAGGTGAAATTCTAAGTATCTCAGTATATGAACTTGTGTACTTGGGCTCTAACCAATTTAATGGCTCCTTACCGCATATCTCTAGCTATACAACGGAGTTAGATTTGTCAAATAATTCCTTTTCAGAAGATGTCTCTAACTTCTTATGTCATGCTCAAAATGTGCCATATAAGCTTAAAATGCTTCATTTGGGAGGATTCGGTTATTTGGAGAAATTCCCAATTGTTGGATGCACTAGCCACAGTTAAAAGTCATAAATATAGGCAATAACCAACTGATTGGAAGAATCCCAAATTCCATTAGGCTTTTGGATCAGTTGAAATCTTTGGATATGCACAACAACATACTTTTTGGCACTATACCTCCATCATTGCAAAATTGCACCCTATTGTTGAAAATTGATTTTGCTGAAAATGGACTCACAGGAATGATTCCAAGATGGTTGGGGACTAAACTTTTAAATTTGAAAATTTTTAGACTCCGATCAAATAAATTTTATGGTGAATTGCCTCTAGAATTTTGCCATCTTAAATCACTTCGCATTTTAGATCTTTCCAATAACAACCTCTGGTGTGATTCCTTGGTGTCTTAAAAATCTCATTGCAATGATCAGTGAAGAGGCAATTCAAGATGGAGAATTTGAAATAGGTTATTCACCTTATGCATGGGGATTTGGTGAAAGTGCTATAGTGACGACCAAAGGGCAAGAGTATGAGTATTACACAATCATTCTAACGTTATTTGTTGGCATGGATCTTTCAAGTAACAATTTTTCTGGGGACATTCCAATTGAATTGGCCAGAAACAACTTAACAAGAAATATCCCCGTGGAAATGGGAAACATGAGATTCTTAGAATCTCTTGATCTTTCGAGAAATCAACTTTCAGGAAAAATTTCCTCTAGTTTCTCAAGTCTGTGCACTCTAGAAGTTTTGGACTTGTCATATAACAACCTATCTGGGAAGATACCTTCAGGTACTCAACTTCAAGATTTTAATGCTTCATGCTACATCGGTAACAACCTCTGTGGCCCTCCACTCTTACAAAGTTGTAGTGTTGATGAGGGCAAAATTCCAAAAAATGAAAATAAAGGAGATGATAGTTCTGAAGTAGTGGATTGGTTTTATGTTAGCATGGCTATAGGATTTGCAGTGAGCTTTTGGGCGTTCTGTGGTTCTTTGCTTCTTGTGAGACCTTGGAGGATTGTTTATTTTCAATTTTTAGATGACAAGTTGAAGTCTGTTGGGCACATGCTCTGATGGTATAATGTTTTTGGTGTTTTCTACTGCTAGGAATCTATGCATATTGAGATTTATGATTTAATGTATCTTCTAGCTAGTAATTTATCATGTAACACTCATTATCATAAATATGTAACCTAGTGTGATTATCATAATTTAAAAGTGTGAATGAAGGTTATACCCTTCATTTATGTCCTTTTTTTTTTTTTTAATACATTATGTTATTATTATTATTATTATTATTATTATTATTATTATTATTATTATTATTATTATTATTATTATTATTATTATTATTATTATTATTATGGGAAAATGGCACTTTTTCCCCCTGAGTTATATACCTATAGCATTTTTTCCCCCTAAGTTATTGAAGTGGCTGTTTTTCCCCCTGAAATGTTAAATGGACATATTTACCCTTAAACTAAATATTTAATTTATTTTTTTCTCCAACAAATTATGACCATAATTTGGTTCAAACTAAACAAACACTATAGCAACCAAACCGAAATATTCCAATTACAATTTAGAATCGAAATTCGATATTTAGAGTTTATTAAAATCGTGAACCGGAACGGACGGTTCATGTTTCGAAAAAAAAATAAAATACATTTATTGTTGAATTTAGACTATTTTAAAATAAAAAATAAAATTTTAAAATAAAGACGGTTCAAAACCACGAATCAGATCCGGAACCGCCGGTTCACGGTTCAAGATTCAATTTTTTGATACATAATTTTAATAAATTGACATTTAAATATTGGGTTCTAGATCTGAATTATAACCGTAAACTATTAATTCGATTGCTTTAGTATCCGGTTCAATTCAAATCGAACCGTGGTCATCCCTACGTATACGCAATAATTTGTTGGAGTAGTAAAATAAATAAAATGTTTACTTTAAGGGTATAAATGTCAATTTAATATATCAGGGGGAAAAAGCACCACTTTTAGAATAATTGAGGGGGCTAATGTGCTTACCTAAATAATTGAGGGGGAAAAAGTGCTATAAGTATATAACTCAGGGGTAAAAAGTGCCATTTTCCCTATTATTATTATTAGTATTATTATTATTATTATATTATTATTATTATTATTATTATTATTATATTATTATTATTATTATTATTATTATTATGCTATAAAAGTTGTACTTTACAATATTTTGGACGAACATACCCATACCGTTATAACTTTCGTTATCTTTTCCACTATTGTTACCATGCACATGCATCCATCATATATTTTCTTATCTTCTTCTTCAATAATAATATATATACATTATATATTGGAGTTATATGTTAATATTTACCTAAAATATAAATATTAAATTTATAAAAAAAGATTTACATTATTATTATTATTATTATTATTATTATTTACAATAATTTAAATATCTAAAATCTAAATAAATTTAAATTTTTATTATAAAGTACTAATATTGGGCACTTATTTTTTGCGCATCGCGCATAAACAAAATACTAGTTATGTAATATAGTGTAATTATCATAATTATGTAACATAGTGTAACTGTAAACCTATCATTTGCCTATGTTGTGCAAATCTTTTGTAATACTACAATGAGTTTACATATTTTAAATTTCAGCCAATTACACATTGATTTTAATTACTACTACAATAAGGCTTTTACCAAGCATTAGGCAAGGCTTGGTAATTATCAGCATGAAACCAGACACAAAAATAAGGGATTAGTGATAGGTTGATCCGTTAAGGACCTGATATATTTCGTGTCTTAACAAGTCAACCCATTAAACATATTAAGAATCCATTTAACCAGATAATAGTATCGTGTTAACCCGTTTGTATAAACTTGTTTATAACCTTCTAAGAACCATTGTTATTTAGGTAATGTGTCATTTTTTCTTATAAAATATATAAATAGAATCATTGTTTTATTTGTCGTTATTCCATTATTAGTTACTCCGTATTTTTATTGACTTAGCTTATAATGTTATATTTTGAAATTTTGTTGATTAAAGACAAATCAAACTGAATGAGATTATTATCTCTCTCTAGCATGCATGTCTAGCGTTTGCTTCCCCTCCTAGGTTTTCGTGGGGTTTTCCCTTCTTTCCCTTGCTTTTATCGGTGTTCTTTGCTGAGATTTGTTGTTTTCCAGTGTTGCTTTTGCTTCTCTGTTGACATCGATATCTGCATGGCTACGTCAGCGTCGGAAGGTGGGGTGGCTGGGCTGACATGGTTTTGGAGGATGAAGCTATCGAGTTTGAGTTGGTGGGAGAGAGCGTCGCGGTGGTTGAGGGCAGCGTGGAGGATTCTTGGGTGGTGGTCGGCCATTTCTTGACCGACAAGTTGGTGAAGGTGGAGTATATGCGGCAGGTTATCGTACCCGTTTGGTGTCCGGTTAAGGGGGTTCAGATAACTGAGGTACAACGAACTTGTTCCTGTTTGTCTTCTACCATAAGACGAACATGCAGCGCGTCCTAGATGAGGGTCCATGGTTGTTTGATAATAGCACTTTAGTCTGTAGGCAGGTGGGTTATTGTGTCCTACCCGGGGATGTTGTTCTTGACTCGATTGATATGTGGGTGCAGCTTCACGACGTCCCAATATGTTATACATCGGATGTGATTCTAGAGCAGATCGGGAACTTCATCGGTTCCTTTGTTAAGTGCGATGACAGATTCACTGGGGCCCATGGAAAACATTATATCGCATTCGTGTCTCTATCCCTATCACACGACCGATCAAGCGGCACATGAAGCCCGTGAAACTTGATAAGACAAGCTGCTAAAGTACGAGAGGCTACGCAATTTTTGTTTCTTTTGTGGCTTATTAGGACACTCATATAAGTTCTTGAAATTACACCGTGAATCTTGAATACTAGATGAACCTTAGAATTCTACTTGATTTTATGTTATGCGACAATCCCGTTCATTAATTAGATTATTTAATCAAACATAAATAACAGAAATTGAAAGCATAAAATAAAATAAGAACACAAGAGAATTGTTACGCAGTTCGGAGCGCTTATCCTACGTCTGCGGGGAATCCACGTCTGCCAAATCCACTATAGATGTTCACCAAGAATTTATACAAAGGTAAGTACAAAATGGCTATCAACCGTTACTACTACAACCCTTCCTAACACCTACTCAAGACTGAACCGTGCATGCCATAACAATCTTCAAGCGAAGCTTCAGCTGTTCCAGGTACTGATTGTGTAGCTCAAATTTAATCCCACAAGAATTATTATAATAGAATAAATTTAATGAGACAACTTTGTAAAGTAATTTCCTTTCTCTCAATACAGTAGTTCACCAAAAATCAGTGACTTTTCAAAAAGGAATGACTTCCTTTTATAGCAAAAATTATCCCATCACTTGATCCACATAATTAGCATCCCATAATCTTCAATGAACCAAAGCCACACATTTGATTTTAAAGCCTCACATTATACGCATTGCATTGCTTACTTCCCATTCTCAATCAACCAATAAATTGTAGCCATTCAAATTAATATTAGTTGATAGGAAGTGGTCCAAAAAGGATTTTAGTCTAGCTTAAATATAATTAAAATAAAATAAATAAATTATCCAACCAAGGTTTAATGTGTACTAAATTTGTACACTTACAATCTCCCCCATTGGCAATTTATTTGGTAAAACTATAGTATCTTATACTTTGGGCAAAATAAGATAAACAATTTAATTTTATTGAAGGCCCTTAGTATGTGTACTAAATAATACCTTAAAAACAATTTAAACTAAAAACCTTTTGGACCATATTTCATCCGTGTAAATCAATGAACCTGTACTGTCGAATATCCCATGAGATGTCACGATTCAGACTAATAGAATTATTCCCAGAAACCACACAATACACGGATATAAGCTAAATAAAAGCTTCATTGTGAATAGACATAAACCATGAATCGCATAATCAGGGAGTGATAATAGTCAGAGATTTACCACACAATATTCCAGAAGAGTAGTAGTACCAAAAGATATACCATATGCAGCAATCAGAGTCAAGACAATATATCAACCATAACTACTACTCCACCCCCCTTACTGTTTTCCCCCCTTATTCTAACTTACCAAAACAATATTCCAACAATTTTACCAAAACTCCCCCTTAATCCATACTCCCCCTTTGTACTTAATTCATACCCCTGTGTACTCCCCCCTTTTGCCAATAAATTGACAAAGGTGAACATCTATATTCTTGGATTGAGTCTGACGGAGTGCCCTATGGGACTGAACCTGCATAAGAAGATTAGAAACAAAATGAGAAAAGCAGAACGTGATAACAATTTTAACAAATAACATATAAGCACAAGTCAAGTTGGAGCAGATTAAGTAGATAAAACATACCAAGTAATAAATGCATTCAAGCACAATCGTAGAAAATAACACAAAAAACACACAATTGGGTCACGCAAAAAGACAAATTGGTAAATAACATAGTAAGCACATTCAGGTAAAACATATTCAGCCAGAGATTCAAATAGAGCAAAATCAGACACGGATTCATATAAATCAACTTCAGGCAAGAATTCATAACAGTTAGCACAATAAGTACACAAGTAAACACAGATACAGTCATGATCGGACCAACAAAAACACATTCACATAGTAACACAGGAGAATACAAATATTAAACAAATTGCATCAAACTTTCATTCAAGTAACCATAGAAAATTCAAAGATGCAACACAAGAAACACCAATAAAATAACCTAAGCAAAAATAGGTTTATCAGTTCAAAAGCACTCAAAATAACGCAAGTATAACATTTAGTAAACGCATATAAAACAGTCAAGAACAAAACACAAAGAATCAATTCGCAATTTAGAGTAGTAGGCAACGAAAAGGACTAATTGCTAGAAAATTAAAAAAAAAATGGGAATAGAGGGCAAATCAATCATAGAGAGACACACTCCAAAAAAAAAAAAAGAGACATATATGCAATGTGAGAGCATGTAGGAACAGAACCATTAATTCAAAAGATAAATTCCCTGATCCTGAAACAGATTCTA